TTGATTTCCATATTTTTTGATAACTAAAAGGGAAGAAAACGGCCTGAAAACGATTTAAAGCTAATCCAATTATGTGAAAATAAGCAGCATTTAATAAAATTATTGCACTGGGTAAAATAAAAAAAGAGCTCCAAAAAGAGGTGGAGAATTTAAAATAATTATAGAAATTAACGTATATTTGACGAATTTGATATAAAATATTTGCACAAGACTTGAAATATTATTTAAAATTATTTTTCGGTACTTTCTGTCATACGACCTCAAACTGAGTGCCAGCCGACTTTGAACAGCTATAAATTTATGAAGCTTGATCCACTACAAATTAATTTTATATCATTCAAAAGCCCTCAATATGCTATTTTTTCTAATAGATAGATCAAGTCTGATCACTCCTTAAAAAGTTATAACCTGATAAGTTAATATCGAAAAGTTATTTGGTGTTTTTCACAGTTATCAGGTTATAACTTTTTAATTGGTATCATACCTGATCCATTAAGTTGGAAAAAAGAGAGCGTATTGAGGGCTTTTGATGATATAAAATTCATTATATTGGATCAAGCATCAAAAAGTGGGTACAGCCCGAAATGTCGCGCGGCCATAATGTCGCCAAGCCATAACTTGCTAAAAAATTTCTTGCCCTTATCAATTTTGGTATCAATCTCTTTAGCTCGATGAGAGGAATCGTTTAATACTAAATTTGGAAAGATTCGGAAATCTTAAAGCAAGTTATGGCTCGGCGACATTATGGCCGCGCGACATTTCGTGCGTGTCCCTCAAAAAGTTATAGCTGCTCAGTTTCCGCTGGCACTCAGTTTGCGGTCGTATAATGGGAAAGTACCTAATTTTTTTTAATTAAAAAAACCTTGCTAAAAAGAATATAAAGAGCTGTTCGCTTTTTTGAAAATTTATATAGAGGACGAATAATTATAATTAAAAAAAGGGCACATAAAATGGTAAATACTAGTTGAAATGTATCTACAATAGTATGCATTAATTTATCATTTGTAGCTAATAGTTCGGCGTTACTACTATTACTCATTATTTTTAAGAAGATTCTTGAATGAATTTAGTTAGCTTTAAGTCTGGTAAAATTAAAAATTTTTTTCAATTTTTAAAAATATTATTAAGTGTTGCTTATAAATCGGAATAATACATATACTACAATTGCTGTTCAAAATTATATCCGCATTTGAAAAACTGTTAATACTCTATGGCTTTAGCATCATCCCGAGTTACGCAATTTCTTCAACTGCGGATATACTTTTGAACAACACTGTATATAGTTAAATTATTTAATTAATTATTCAGTTACAAAATTATTTCTTTTCACCGTCTTTAATTTTAACTTTATGTAATTTTTGAATTATACATTTTTTTGTTTTTTTTCTCAATTAATAAATAATAAACTTAAAAAGTTAAATTAATAAAGCAAAATAAAGGTTCTAAATAAATAAATTATTTTGTTTTTTAAAGGAATAATTAAATATATTTATATATTTTTAGAAATATGTATTTATTTATTTTGAAAGATAAATATTTTTATTATTCTTTTTTATCTTTATTTTTATATATATTAATTCTATTTATGCAAAACTTTAATTTAATAATTACTGTAAGTTCTCCCCCTGACGGCATTTAAAAATTTTTAAGATGTCAAAAATCTCTCAAAAAAATACAAAAGATAGTATTGCAGCAGGGCTCTAATTAGAGCTTTTACGACATTTAAAAATATATTTTTAGATAATTGTTATTAATATATAATTATTTATTTTAGTAGATTAACATCTCTTTTTGAACCGTGGTCTCTAATATAACTTCATAAAATGAACGAGTTAAAAAATAACCACGGGGAATTTATCATAATAAGTACGATAATTATATTTTTAATAATTTCTTTTAAATAATTCCCAAAATAATGTGGGGATTTATTTTTTAAAATTGTATAAAAATATTTATTTTATAGATAAAAACGCTCATTCAATATCTAAAATATTAAAAAAAACTCCATAATTTTAATCTTCTTATATCCCCTATTTAAAGATAATAAATTTAGAAATAAAAAATAATTTTAAAATAATAACCCAATTAAATACCAAAAATCTTTTGAATACGGGTATATAACTTTAATTTTGACAAATTTCGCAATAGAAAATTTTATGTACTAAAGCCAATGTACCAATAAATGAATAAACTAGATAAAACGGTACCCAACAAACTGTGCTTTATCGTGATAATAAAAATAAAAATATGTTTAAATGCCGAATATAAAATAATATAGAATAATTGGTAGCAATACTTACCAGTTCTGAGTATGGCTCAAGGAGCTGATTCCCATAGCCAGCTCAGGCGGTTGAAAATGAATCAAAAGCTGGGAATTGGAAATGTCAAACAAATCCCACGAACAAAATATCAATAAATAGCTTTATCTTGGAGTGATTAAATGGATGAGAGGGGATTCGGCATTTTGGATTTCCTTTTTTCAGCCCCCATGCGAAAATTTGGGAAGGTCAAGAAAGCAAGATTCATCCATTTTAGGAACAAAAAGTCATTTTAAAAATTTTGAAAATCGGAAAAACAGAAAGTCGAAATTAAAAGAAGAACAATAAAAATAAAGTCAAAAATCGAAATTTCAAAACAGCTCTAATTGGAAACAGAGGTCGGTCGGAATTATGTAGATTTTAGACATTATTTCCGTGCTCGAAATATGATAAAAATTTCCGAGATTTTCGAATGACTGAAAACTTTGTTCATAGTCCTTTCAGATTCTCAAAAATTAGCAGTACTAGCTTTAATAAAGATAGGGGCTAAGGCCTCAAAGCGTCCAATAGAGCGGTTTTTACACTAAAAGCCAAAAAAATCCCGACAGAAAAATAAAAATTTAAAAAACATCACAATAATGTACGGAGAAAATTCTGAATTTTTGTTTTAGTTGTTTGTCTCTTTTTAGTTAAATCTTGGCGACACAAAGGACATGTCTTATTTGTTTTAAACCTTAATTTAATTGAATTAATTAAATAATTTGTTAAAGTTTTTCAAAAGTTCTAATTTTAAAATGTACATATAGAGTTGGACTAGAGAACGGACTGGGTGTGTCGTACGAGAATCGAGATCTCGATAACCGAGATTTTTGATTGAGATCTCGATCACGTTCAAGTCTCTATGTTGAACATCATTTTAACTATACACTTTTCATTGTAAAATTTTATGAAAACCCTAAGTATCCATTATTTGGAATATCGCTTAGTTAGTCATCTCCCTCCCTTCCCAGTCGTCAAGCAAAATTTACATTAAATTTTGGACTTTATACATTTTCTTTTACAAAAAATAAAATAATAATTACCAAGTTGTAATGCATCCATCGTGAAATAAATGCTGAAAATTGGAAATTATATTAAATAATTGGCCCTTTCTTTCAAAAATAGTAAATTCAATTAGAATAATCAAGGTAGAATATTAGAGGGAGAAAGTATGTAGAAGTACATAATAGAGGTTGAAGTATCAAGAGTAGGAAGTAATACTGTATAATATTCTACTAATTCTTTCCTCATTTTTTGTATCTTTACTTCCAATTGGCTCGAACGGAGAATCTTATGTGACCTCAAGGCAAAAATCAGAAAATACCAAATTGACCACTCCGGGTCATTTTGGTTGACAGGTAAATCTTATTTCAGACAAGAAATTTTTTTCTACTTTTAAAGGAAAATAATGGTGCAGACGGGGTCAATTATTTAATTAAAAAAACTTTGCAATCGTGTAATTCTCGAGCAGTTTCGCCAATCTCAAGATTAGATAAGCAAATAGAACATTCAGAATCAATTTCTTCGTTTATATAAAATAGTGTATCTATAATTTAAAATATTTTTGTGTTAAATATTTTTAAGAAATTAATGTCATAAATTAATGTCACCGGAAATTTTGGCACAGGAAAGCTGGACCAAAGATTTTTCGGAATTTTGGGCTCTAAGGAAAAAAGTCAATAAGGAAAAAAGTCAAGTCCAAAATCCCTTCCTAACTAATTAAAAAACAGGCAGATGGTCAAAAATCTGCTTTTTTGGGGAAATTTTGATGGTTATTATTTCCTATTAAATTTTAAAAAATCATTCTACTCAAAAAATCAAAATAAAGTTCCTATATATAATTAAAAAATAATTTATTTTACATTTATCTCTCTTGATGAAATAAATTTTGTTGAAATATAATTGTTTTTGATCGAAGCGTTTATACAAAAATTGAAAATCAGTGAAATCATCATTATCGCTGCAAATATGTATGTAAATATGTAGATTTTTTTAAATTTTATTAAGATGCTAAAAAAATAACAAAAATCAGAAAAAATTTTCCGCCTTATGGACTGGAGCTCGGTCTGGTAAAACCTTAAGAATATAAAGTCTTAATTAATACTTGTTATAAACAGGCATAATTTTGTTGCATTTTGTCAGTTCTTGATGCTCTTTTGTTCCTTTTTTAAATTTTAAATTGGGGGAATTGCCAGGTCCTGTCCATTTCCAACGAAATGCTACAAATTCTCTTTCAAAAACAATTTTATGGGAATGTGTAATTGCACTTTTCTCGTTTTTTATTTCTTTCGAATCGGGAACAGTTTCTTCAATTAAATGATCTTTCCCATATATTTTAAAAAGAGCATTTGCTAAACAAATTGACTGTTTTTCTATAAAATGTTTTTTGAAAACAATTAGTGTTTATAAGAAATAATTTTTTACCAAATAAATATTTTGAACTACCGTAAATACTCTTTTAATTACCTTCCCTCAAATAATTACCCCACCTCAATTAATTACCCCCTCCAGCGAAAGGTTGAAAAAATAATTACTCCCTTGAAACTAGTTATTTTTACCTTCCTAAGGTCACTTCTATTAATTACCCCCCCCCCTCCTCTCAAGAGTGAGGTCGATAACTAGTATTTTTTGATTTTTTTTCTTATGATTTTAAATTAAAAATAAAATTATTCTAAAAATTAAACAAAATATTATATTTAACAACTAAACCAAATATTTAAGGGATAATAGTTTATCAAGTAAATATTTACCAAATTTTTCCTTCTTGGTCAAAATTAAATAATTTCCTTTAGTAGTATTAAAAGTATTCAAATATTTTTTAACGACCAAAACACGAGTTGAGTTATCTTTATTTTCTTTTAAAAATTTTTTCTTTTTATCAAAACATTCTTTAGCATAATCAATGCCTTCAATTTCAGCCATTTCATTCTCCCCAATTTCCAAATCTTTTATTAATTTTTTATCAATTCCACGATGAACTTCCCATTCCTTCCAAGTTTGGCCACTAATCATTTCTACTTTTGTAATATGATTATAAGCAATTTCTTCTATTTGGGGATTATATTTATGTAGAATATATTCAACAACACAAGATTGATGACAATTGAAAGATATAAAAATTAGAATGAAAATCATTAAAAATGTTTTTGACATTTCTTTCTAAATAAAATTAAATGTATATATTTAGTACATATTTAAAATTAAATGGTATACATATGTCCATTTCAATGACCATTATCCCCAATAGGCCGTGCTGTTATCAAACTTTTTCGGCTGTGGCGAAAATTAAATATAACCCAATTTATGTTTAATAAAAAGTTTTGGTGTAAAAATACACTTTTCCATTTTCGATTCGCAGCTCTTTCTTTTAATTATTTAGTAAAATGGCCAACTGAGCCGCAACATACTAAACAACTGCAAATTATTTTTCAATTTTTTCGATATCGATGTTTTTGATAATTTTGATCCGATTTCCAAGTTCCGATGATTTTTTTGTTTTGAAGCTGCTCTGCTCTAATCATTTGATAACCTGAGGAAAACTAAGGACAAGAAGCCGAATAAGATTGTCTGATCCTAAGAAATCCTCATATATCCGGATCCGGAATCAAAATTTCTATTAAAGTAATGAAGATTATCCAGTGACGTGAAGTCTTTTGAATATGCAATGCCAACTGTTGTGGATAATAAGCCATTATTTCCAGGTGCCTGCCAATTCCTTTTCAATCAAAGAAAAAGTACTGGGATGTTGGAAGATCTTGACAAGGAGTTGGGGAAATTCCTGGCTTGGTTTGGATATGAACCGAAAATTTAAGATATCAGGACTTTATTCGAATCCGTCAAGCCTAGAAAGAATAAAGCAGATTTTGTAATAAGTGTATAGCGAGCTGTGCATTTGCCCAATTAAATTTCTAGCTCTCATACAAAGGTATCACGACTTTTGCGCCGAGAACATTTGCGCCGCGACTTATGCGCCGCGACTTTTGCGCCGGGTGACTTTTGCGCCGCGACTCTTGCGCCGCGACTTTTGCGCCGGGCGACTTATGCGCCGCGACATTTGCGCCGCCATTGTTTAAAAAATCCGGATCCGAAAAATGCCGGATATCCGAAATTTTCAGTTCGGATATTGGATCCGGATATCCGAAGATTTCCAACTATCCGACAACCCTACTAAAGTGAGGTCCGGCTGTAGTTATTGATATATTTTTAATGATAGTGGCGGCGCAAAAGTCGCCCGGCGCAAAAGTCGCGGCGCAAAGGTTCCCCGGCGCAAAAGTCACTCGGCGCATAAGTCGCGGCGCAAAAGTCGCGGCGCAAGAGTCGCGGCGCAAATGTTCTCGGCGCAAAAGTCACGGAACCCATACAAAAATACATATTAAAAGTTTTTCTATATTAAATAAATTAATTTAAAATAATTTAAAAAATTAATTTTAAAAATGGCTAATAATTAGCTGAGTGAATCTTTAAAATAGATGCCTTTGTAAGGGACAAAAATGAATAAACCAAAAATTAATTTATAAAGACAATGGAAATGGATTCCCAGACAGAGAGGAAATAAAGGAAGAATTCTTTAATTGTCAATGATATTGAATTTTATACACATGATTCTTAATAAATATATTAAATCGATTTTAATTAAACATTTTAAAGAAAATTATGTTTAAATAATTTAAAATTTTTATTCAAACAATTGTTTATTGTTTAATTTACTAGCGGAGGGGATCGCCCGAAGATTGTGAAAACAACCATTGACTTTTACCTCATTTGAGGGTCACTCTTAGGCAGTTCCCCCACTCAAAATTAAACGTTCTTAAAAAAAGTTTTCTAGAATCAACTTTTCCTAATTTTGATGTATTCCGACTGTAATAAATTAAGTGATTACCCTCAATTTAGGCAAAAACAAATATACTAAATGGAAGAAAGCCAAGGTACCGCAAGCCCAATATACCGCAGAGCTATACTTCGTTCAGAATTGTCGAATCCTGGACGCCCTCGTATGGTTCGATACAGCTCGTCGAGGCGCATCGAAACATACCAGGGCCTCCCGGATTTGAAGGGGGGAATATAACTATAACTTCGTCCCGGACGAAGTTATAGCTCTGCGGTACCTTGGGCTTGCGATACCTTGGGGTGTACCAATACTACTTGGATATAAATAATGATTGTTTTATATAGGTATATTATTTCAAGTTTCTAAAATTTTACTTAAAAACTCAAAAAAATTCCTTAACTATTTAATTTAAATTTCAAATGTTTATTTAAAAACAAAAAAAGCTTTTTTATAATTTAAATATACTAAATTGTTTATTTAAAGAAAATAAAATCAAAATTAATTGGAGAGAGAGATATTAATTAAATGTTTTTAATTTTTTATATTTATTTATTTAATATTTATTCAATTCCAAATATTTTTAATTGAAGGCCTGACCATGAAGAATTTGGTAATCCCAAATGAAAAGAACCATTTGAACTCCAATAAGGACCTTTAAAAATATTTTATTAAATTCTTTTTTATTTTTAAATTAATTAAAAATTTATTTTGAAAAATCTCAGAAATATAACCAGTAATTCAAATTCTCATATGGCTAACAGCTAAATTCCTATTTTTCAGTTTGGGTTTCCCCTGTCCAAGACTACTAGTCTTAAATTTAAAAAAATCTTCGGTCTTGGAAGCTCTACTATGGTCGGACCATTTAAGGATTGGTTATAACATCACCGATAGAATGTCCCTTAAGCACAGATTTTCCCCCATAATCTCAACAGTTATACTAACATGTTTGAATGAAAAGAACTAAAATGATTATCAATTCACAAAATTTTTTTGAATTGCTTTAAACCCTTCAAAAAATAATTTTTTCAACATTTATTTTTGATTTTTAAACAAATTTTTTTATAAAAATATTTTCGAACCGTGGCACCAATAAGTTGATTACGGCCAATTTCATATTCAATTAAATACCTTTAAACATTTAATATTTTTCAATTAAATTTAAATAATCCAACCAAATCATTATTCCAAAAGCTATAATAAACAGAATAACCCCAATAACCGAATAAAGACGTTCCATTCGATAAATTGTGGCATTTAAAAGATTCAAAACTTTAAAGAAAAGTTAATTTTAAAGAATATTTTTAACAAAAAATAAATTACAGAAAAGGACAACGTTAATGACAACTATGACAAAATTAAGAGAACTGGCAAATCCAACACGTCCTAAAGAAAAATATTTTGTTTTTAAAATAATTTTTATTATACAACCATCATAAAAGCAGGAACGTCCTCCCCAAATATTTGCACAGAGAAGTCCGCAAGTTATGAAACCACAAATTATCTATAAGTTAATTTTTAAAGAAATAAATCACGAAGTCTTTTTATTAGTTATATTTATGTAGGTATCGTAAATGCTGAAATAATTGCCCCTTCTCAATTACCCCCTCTAATAATGACCCCCTTGTTTTTTTACAAAAACTTTAAAAATATTTAAGAAATTATTATCAAATTTAATTATTGGAACATTTTAGATCTCAATATTAAAAAAAATTAATTTTGCATCAAATGGATTGAGATATGCCATAACTCTAGCACATCCTCCCTAATAATAAATACCCAATCTTACGAGAGATTAAAACAATAATTACTCAGGAGAATTATTTCAACATATACGGCAAGTAATTGTTGTAATACTTGATCTTATATATCTTTTAGTCTTATTAATAATTTAAATTAAAAATAAATATTAAATTTATATTTTATATAAGATTTAAATTTTATTTACCTGAAGAACTTTAATAATCCCTCTATTGGTACTGAGATAACCAGTGTTCAATCCTCCCATTTTATATCAGAAATAAAAATTTTTTTAATTTAAATAGTATATAATTGCTATAATTAAAAAAATTTAATTAATTAATTAAACAAATAATTAAATCTTCATTAAAAAGGCAAAAAAATAATAAAACAATAAGAGGAACAATAAGGAAAAACAAATAAGGGAACAACAATAAAGTAAAAACAATAAGAAGTCAAAGGAAAGCAGACTCTAATTCGTTTGAATCCACATTAAAAAATATTTTTATAATCTTTGTGATATAATATCTGGATATATAATTAAATATTTGGTCACTCAACCTTCACAAACATATAAAAACTTTTTGTTAGTAGAGTAAACTCAACTTTAAGCTAACAAGTTTAAGTTTCCGGTTTTAAACACTAAAAAATATTTTTAATAGCTTTTGGATGTTTTTCCCAAAATTTTATCTGTTATTTTCCCCACAAATCACTCTCACATTTTTGGCTATAAATTCTTCGTCCCTACACAATTTAATATTAAATAGATACCAAATGGCAGAGGTTGGTTGTTTACAACATTAAAACGCAAAATTGTTATTTCGATTCTCGAAAGAAATATTTTTATGTTAAAAAAAAGATTATTTAATACTAAATATACAGCTGTGCTTGCATGTGACAGCAGCCAAAAATCGAGAATTTAAAATAAAAAGGAATCGAGATTCGAGGGTTTGAGTAGAAAAATAAAAGTATTTTTATTTTTGATCAACAGTGGGGGTTGTTATTTAAATGCGTCATTGAAGTAAATCGAGATTAAACTAAGAGGTTATAATAAGTATATCCCCCCCCCCATTAATGAAGGATGAAAAAAAGGTTTTTAAAAATAAATCATTGAAACAAATTGAGGGAAGATAAACAGAAAATAATGTAAAATTATAAAGAAATCAAAGAGAAACAAAATCAGGACCCTCTAATATATTGTTGAGTAAATCCTCAAATCCTAAACCAAAAGGATTAAGAAAGGGAGGCATCTCAAATTTAAGTAAAAAACTTTTAAATAAACGTTGTTTCTATCAATTCTCGATTTATCTCGCCTCAATTTATTTAAGTAATTGATGCTTTTCTTTATGCCCTTTTTGCCTCATTTTCTTTTTTTTTATTTTCTCTCATTTACTCACAGCTTGGGGCCCCTAAAATTTCTTCCCTGCTGTTTTTATTTTTAGTGTTTTTGGGGGTTTTGGTATGTTAAATAAAAAATAGGAAATAACAAAAAGAAAATTTTGGGGCTTTAACTAAGTGAATGAATGAATAGGAACATACACTAAATGAGAACAACAAAATATACATATGTAGATAAACTATTTTAGAAACACATTTTTTGTGTAAATTTAGTGAAAAAATATAAATATATATTTAATGTTTTTTTGGATTTTTTGGATTTTAGGACAAAATCCTAAGGGAAACGAGAAGAAAAAAATAAAAAAAAAGAAAGAAAAATAAAGAAAAAATGTTTTTTCATGTTTTTTCATTAATACTAATGAACGGAAAGAAAAAGAAGTTTTGAGAGAAAATTTAAAATATAGAATTTATTTATGTTTTTAAATTTAGGGTCAAACTTTAAATAAAAAATTTGAAAAAAAGAACAGTTATGCCGAAGGAGTTGATCACCAATAGAGTTTCCGATAGGATATAGGTTTCTCTAGAACAGGGTTTCGATCTCGAATTTTTAAAAATCCGCAAAATTGATAGAAAAAATCCGCATTTTACAGTAAAAATCCGCAAAAAATTATCAAGCACAAAAATTGAATTAAAATCACTTTATCCATTGTATTTTTCGTCTTCTACAATTGAATTAAGCAAATTTTTTTATTACTAATGATCATCATATGAAAATTCAACAACTAGCTGAAAAATTACGCTTGCATTTTTGTCGCGGAAAATGTCAATAATTTTTATTTCTTCCATTTTCAGCGCCGCAGGCGAAAATTTTTTTAATTTTGGAAGATCCTTAAGCCAAAAATCGTTCATTTTCAGGCCAGGCAAAAAATTTTGAGGATTTTGGAAGATCGAGGACAAAGATTTCTTTATTTTTTGCGCCGCAGGCGAAAATTTTGCGGATTTTAGAAGGTCTTAGCAGGAAAATAATGACATTTTATGCTAAAAACCACAAGAAAATATAAAAAATCCTCATAATCTTCAAAAGACCACAAAAATCCGCAAATCCGCATTGTTAAAAATAATCCTCATCGCCCTATCAAAAAACCACAAAATGAGGAAAAATCCGCAGATATCGAAACCCTGCTCTAGAATGATGCCCCCCTCACCGAAATTCTCCAATTGGAATAGCTCATGCCAGCACGTTCCACAAGAGAATTATAAAATATTAAAAGAAAATTTTGACAATAACTACATATTATTAAAATAAATAATGATTTTAGAGAAATTCCTAAATACTAAAATAGATTGTTTAAAAAATAGATATTCTGGAATTTTCAGCTAAGTACATATCACTTAAAATCGTAAAAGGAAATTATTATGTACCTATTTTAATATTTTTGCCTAAAATAAACGTCATAAATACTTTATAAACAAAATAAATAAATAATAATATAAAAAATAAATTATGGAGAATAATTAGGGAAAATAATGTAGAAAAAAAATTATTTAAATAAATAATTTACATAAAATAATTAAAATAAATTTTTAGACGTAATTCACTCAAATATTCTCAAGACAAACATTTTATTTTAATAATATTTAAATATTATCTCTAAATTAAAATTACTTTTTTAAATCATTTTCATAAAATTTCAGAGAGAATGACCGTTTGTCTTTAAAATAAAAATTAAATAAATAAATTCATCTTTTCACATTCCTCAACTATACAGCAATAACTTACTGACACGAGGTTTAAATAAATATATTTTTAGAAAATATGGCAGCTGTCACATTGACTAAAAAATAATTTTTCAAACTGAAAAAAGGACAAATATGACATGTGAGAGGAAAAAAAAGAATTTTTGTCCATATTTTTGACAGATTCTCTTGAAGAATCTCTTGAAAAGTTGCCTTTTTTGGCTTTATTTTTCTTAAAAAATATTTTATTATTTTTGAAAATTCTTAAAAAATTTTTAAAAAATTATTTTATCTATTTATGGAAATTTTTCATACATAATTAATAAATTGTTAATTTGAAGAATTGTTAATTAAGAATATTTATGGAGTCTCTTAAATAACAAATATACAGGTGAAATTAAATAAATGAACCAAGAAATAATGTGGTTAAAAAACAAATTTGTTAAAAACCAAAAATTAAATTTTAAAAAATATTTCTGTTAAAAATAAATAAAAATTAACAGAAAAATTAATGTAAGATTAAAAAAAAAGATTTTTAAAATATTTAATTAAATAAAAATAAACGAGAAATTTCTAAATGAGTCATTTCTCGTGAAGTGGTAGAATTAAAAAAAATTGTAAATATTTTTTGTTGAGTAATTCTCTCGATTATATAATTGCTAGGTAAATAAACAACAACCTTTCCATTATTTTTAAAAAATACTTTTGACGTCCTTCAAAAATAAAATTATTTTTAAAAATACTAAAGGTTATTTGTGTGTAAATAACAGTTTTCAAGAGCCCAACCAAAATAAAATAAATTTAAAAATAAAATAATAATTTTTGTAAAATTATTTCCATCATTAATCTAATTGAATATAGCAGACTAGGACATGGATGCGGATACAGATATTGTAAAAATGCCTGCGGATATCCGTTTGTATCCGCCGTAAATAAAAATCAGTATCCGTGTCCTAGTCTGGAATATAGCCTCACATTTTTTGTTAAAGACTACATATACAGGGTGTGGCAAATTTTGCGCCGATTTTGTTTTTGCCATAACTTTTTTCAATTTTGATGAAAATTGATAATTCTTTTTTTATTTTATTTCCAACACTCTAAGCAAATTTTTGGTGCCAAAATATTCTCTAGATTTTGGAAATTAATTTGATTGTTTTCTTCTTAAAGTTTTGGAGAAATTTTTGGACCAAAAGTCGTCTGATTTAAAGGTCATGTGTTTGATATGTGAGAACTTTATATTATTCGAATAAGCTCTTTAAGCTGATTCGAATGACGTCAAAACAAACCGATTATCTTGTTTTTGAGCTGAGATATGGGTCTTTGAATAATAGATTAAGAACTAGACGTTAAATTTCACTTTTTTAGGTAAAATTTTCAGAGAACTAATAATAGACTATTTCGATGCTCCTCGTAGAGACAAGTCGATTGGTACCAAAATTAGTAAGATTGGATGACCTTGAGCGAAGTTATGGTAAAGTAAACTTTTGCGCGAAAAAATATTTTATGCGAATCGACCTTTAGACGGGTATATCATTATTATCCTTGAACTAAATTTCTATTACTTGGTACCAAAAATTTGCTTAGAGTGTTGGGAATAAAATAAAAAAAGAATTATCAATTTTCATCAAAATTGAAGAAAGTTATGGCAAAAACAAAATCGGCGCAAAATTTGCCGCACCCTGTAGTTATCGTCTTGTTTCGATTCTTTCCTTCTTACAGTAAGTATCCTTGCTGAATTCTTTCTTCTCTCAAATTTTCAGTTAATTTCTTTGATGGAGTTAACTAAAACAAAATAAATTGAAATTAATTAAAGATTTTGTTAACTTTTTATATAAAAAAATTGCAACAATCACAACCAATTTATATATGTACAGGGTGCGGCAAATTAGGCGCGCGTTTTGTTTTGGCCATAACTTTCTTTAAACTTAACCGAAATTGATAATTCTTTTTTTATTTTATTCGCAACTCTCTAAGAAAATTTTCGATACCAAAAACTTTTTTAACTTTTATAATTTACGTTAATTAATTTTTTCTCAAATTTCGAGCAAAAACTGGGCCTAGCTTCAAGGCTATTAGATTGATATGGGAATTTTATATATCATTCGAATCAGCTACTCAATCCGATTCGAATGACATCAAAATTAGGCGCCTACCATGTAAATGAACCGAGATATGCTACTTGAATGAAAAATTAAAATAATTTTGGCAAATAGAAATTTTTGGATCAAATTTTCAAAAATGAGATTATTAGCTATTTCGATGCGCCTGAAGAAGATAAGTCGATTGGTACCAAAATCAATGGGATTGAACAATTTTGAACGATGTTATGAGTAATTAAAATTTGGCATAAAAATATTTTTTTACACTTTTAGATGTTCTAACGGGAATATCTTTACTATCTGTGAACCAAATTTCTCATTTTTGAAACCAAAAATTTTCTTAGAGAGTCTTGAATAAAATAAAAAAAGAATTATCAATTTTTGTAAAGTTTAAAGAAAGATATAGCCAAAACAAATCGCGCGCCTAATTTGCCGCACCCTGTACATTATGTGAGTAAATAAAAAATTAAATAAAATTAAAAACAATTTAAAAAAATACAATCAAAATATTTTTAAAATAAAAAAAAGAAGGGATTTAAAAAATGTTTTTTTTAAATTTCAAAAGTTTCAACTACAAATCTCTCTCATTTTTGAAATTTCTCATACAAAAATGTAATTATGTAACTGTCATTTCTTCGTTCCTTTAAAGTTAAAAAATAGAAACATTTAAATAAATAAAAAAATTATTTTAAAATTTCTTACATGTTAATCATTTCTGCATTTTCGATTTCACTACGACATAATGGACAAATCTAAAATAATTTTTATAAAAAATTCTTAATTATTTATTTAATAAATTAATTTTATAAAATAAATAAATAAATTACTTTGTCATTCCCGTTGTAGTATAACCTATTTTTATTTAATTTTATTTTGAATATTTAATATTTTTACTTACCACTTTTGAAGACATTTTTTATGAAATATATGCTGAAAATTAATTTTTATTGTTTAAAATAATTTTTAAATTAATTAAAAATTATTAACATCGCAGGGAATAATTGGTTGTGTTTCTTCACCATTTTCGAGTTCCTCTAAACAAATTGTGCATTTATTTGTGTTAGTAGCTAAAAAATATTTTCTTTATTTAAAAATAATTATTTAAATATTTTTAATTTTTACGTTCATCAAAAAATAATTGTTTAGGATTAAAACGATTAATTATTTCCTTTAAACTAATCTCTTCTATATTTTCATCAATATCGAAACTAAAATTAAATATATTTTTCTCCTAATATTTAGTATTTACCTATTATTTTTTAACAAATTTAAACAATTCCTTTTAATTTTTAGTTTTGGTTTTGTTATAATTTTATAACATTCTTTAATTTGTTCAAATTTTGAAGTCCCTTTTTTGTAAATTTCATTCAAAATTTGTTTTTCTTTTCCCCAATCCCAACTATAAATATAATTATTTAAATTAAATTCAATTTTGTATTTATCTTCAATTGCTTCTTTACTGTTAGTAATTTTTGAGGGGGCTACTTTTATTTTTACATATTCTTTCCCAAAATTTGCAAATAAAAAATTAGTTAAACATGCTGACTGTTTTTCTTTAAATAAATTTAATTATTTTAAAAATTAATTATTAAATGGGGGATTTTTAAGGAAAGAAATTAAAGAAAGTTTACTGAGAATTTTAATAAATTTTAGCTTTTTAACTCCTCTCAATCCGTATATATTCCTTGATATCCCACTTAATCACCCGATAATAGTCTAATCATACCCAACCCCAATAATCCCTCCCAATCGCATATATTTCACTTAATCACTCCTCAATCCCACCAAATCCCCAGTGACACCCTTAATCCCATAAATCCATCGAAATCCCTTCTAATCCCACGTACAAAATAATTATTTAGAACGGTGGTACGTTAGGAGAGGTGGGTTGGGCGGCAGTAGGTTGGCCTGCTCCCGGAAACCCCTGGACAGATTTTTTGACTTTCCAATTCTGATAATTTTAGAAGGCCTTCTCTCTCTTTCGTTCTAAACATTCGAGGTTTTTAAATAAAATAATTACCTAACAACTTCTGATATTTTTCAGATAAACTTAAATAATCTTTTCCAATTAAAATCTTTTCAATATTTAATGATTTATTCCAAAACTTTGACAAAACGAATTCTTTATTTTTATCAAAACATTTATTTGTATATTCTTTCCCCATAAATTCTTCCATTTCTTTTTTTGAAATTAAAAATATATTTTTTAAAAATTCTTTAGGAATTCCCCTTTCAATTTTCCATTCTCCAATAACTTTTTTGGCAAAAATTTTTGTTTGGATATTTTTGTTTTTAATTAAAATATAATCAGAAATACATTCTTCGGCTACCCTACAACTCATCGAATCCTTAACTCATCGAATCCTCAACTCATCGAATCGGCCAAAAACACTCAACTCATCGAATCCTTAACTCATCGAATCCTCAACTCATCGAATCGGCCAAAAACGATCAACTCATCGAATCCTCCCAAAAGGGGACGTTTGAGTCCCTGTGTTTATTTTTTAGATTTTTTATTGTTTTGTCTTCTGGGGTTTCAACTAATTTTGTTATTTAGTTAATCGGGCACTCATCCAAGTCTATCCGGCCAGTGAAAACATTTTCAGATAATGAGAATGTTTTCTCACATTCCTGGTAAATTATGATGGAGATTTTACCGGGTAAAACCGGACCAGATTAGTCCAGTAGACCCCGATTATGCCCAAAAGGCCTTTTTTCTAGCCTCAATAGCAGCAAAAAAATTTTTCACCGAAGATTCAGTTAGCCCTTTCAGGAGAAAGATAAACACGGGGACTCAAACGTCCCCTTTTGGAAGGATTCGATGAGTTGATCGTTTTTGGCCGATTCGATGAGTTGAGGATTCGATGAGTTAAGGATTCGATGAGTTGAGTGTTTTTGGCCGATTCGATGAGTTAAGGAATTTTAGCCGATTCGATGAGTTGAGCGTTTTTGGCCGATTCGATGAGTTAAGGATTCGATGAGTTGAGCGGGCACGCATTCTTCTGGATATTCTTCAGTATAACACAAAGAAAGAAACAAAAATAAAATTAAAAAATTATTAAATATTTTTAAATAAATTAAATACATTGAGAAATTTTTTTAAATAAATTTTTATTTAATTTTTTTTTAAATTAAAGGAGAAGATTAAATGAAAAGGGCATTTACTATTTACTTAGAGGATTTCTAAATAGTCAATTGAATATTGGATTTTACTTTATTGATTATATGCACTATATATAGATTTATATATTTTTTATATATAAATTATTATTAATTTATTAAACAATCATAAAGTTGGAAAAAATGATTCAACGAAGGCGCCAGAAACAGCCCTGTTTCGAATTAAAACTCCCATCATTGGGATCTCGAAATCCGAAAATCAACTGAAAACGGGGGTAAACTTCTTTTATTTACGACCCCTTATAGGGGGAGTTGAATTTTTATTTCATACTTTTCTGAAGGCCCTTTAAATTTGCTATGAGATAGTTTTTATCATATTATACAGAAAAAATTTTCTTTGAGATATAATGAGTTTAGTTTACAAGTTACATTTTCGTCACTTTTTGGGGTCGATTGAGTAATTTTTATGACTTGAAGATCTATCACTTTGGCTCTCGACGGTGAATTTTTTCTGTATGATGAGGTAAAATCTTAAAGGGCTTCCAGAAAAGTATCAAATAAAAATTCAACTCCCCCAATAAGGGGTCATAAATATTTTTAAAATACATATACTATTAAAAACATTGATACTTTCTACATATTATATATTTTTATTATTTATTTGTTAAAAAAGAATTTAAAAAATTTTTTCATTTTTTTGAATTCTATTTTGCTTTGAATTTTTTTCTTCTTTTTTTCTCTGTTAATTCAAATTATCATTTTGTTAGACTTTTGATATCTGCCCAATTAAGGAGGACAACACCAAGAGGAGCCTAACCCATTCACAATAATATGTCGACAACGTGTGTATTTTGCAGTTTTCCCATTAACTTTGTCAGGGCCCCAATATTCTTTACACTCATCCGGAAAGTCAACATTAATTCCTCTACATGCTGAAATCAAAAATTGATCAAAATTTTTTTAGAATTAAAATTATCCACTTAAATTTTTTTAAATGGATTAGTAAAATTATCAAACCTTTTCCCGAGTTATAACCACCTGGACATGTGGCAGCGATAGCTAAAATTTTAAAAAAATTTGTTAAGTTTAACAATTAAAATGTGGGATATTGTAGTAATTTTTAAGTCTCTATGAAAATTAAATTTTAAAAGAAAAATGTCATTAAAGCGAAGAATAAATTGCTTGTTTTTTAAATTAATGTCGCTTAAAATAATTTTATTTTAATTTTTGATTGAATATAAATTTAGAAAAGATAGCAATTTTTTGTCTAAAATTGTAAATAATTTTAGAAATATTTAACCAAAAATTCTAAAATATTTTTTTGTTCATATTAAAAACCCTTTTAAATTAAAATCAAATTTTTGACTCAAAATTCGATTAAATAAAAATATTCATGTGATGCAAAAGCTCCAGTTCCAGGGAACTGGTAAAGTTTTGGAACCGGTTCCAGAAAACTTTTTCATCAGTTTATATCAATTTTTAAATTAATTAATTAATTAAATTATAATTTTTGCTATAATTTTTAGGGGCTTGATTTAAATTTAAAATTAAATTAATTTTAAATTTAAAAACCTTTCTCAAACAACATTTGACTGATTAGAAAGACACACAAACACAAAGAAAATACTCCACGCATTATTTAATTTTAATTTTAATATCGGGTAGGATTAGTTAAACTTGAGGAAATAAAAATGTTTTGAACTCTCTTAAATTCAAGCTTGTTTAAATACTTTTAATTTTGTCTTGTTTGAATGAATTTTTGATTTTTTTAACCTTCAAAAAAAATTTTTATGACGACCATGGATAAATAACATCGACAAAAGTTTAAAAAATAATTAAAATTTTATCAATAACAATTTTTTGTATTAATCCTTCTCTCATACAGAAACAGTTAAATATATTTAAGCGTAAATACTTACTAATTGTAAGCATTTAAGTAAGCATTAAAAATATTAGTAAGAATAAATAAATATTATTTAATATTTAATAAAGTTTAAATTTTAGTGTTAGAAAATTTAAAAAATTATTATTTTTTAATTTTAAGAATTAAAATTAAATTACTAATAATTTAATTTTTAATTTTCTTTAAATTAGAAACAAAAATAATGATAATTTAATTTTAACATTATCATCTAAAATAAGGTTGTCGGATCCGGATATCCGGATCCGAAAAAAGGCCGGATATCCGAAATCTTCGGTTCGGATCCTAGAATTAGGGAAAATGTAAGAAATATGGTCCATTGATCTTTCAAACTTCCCAAAATTTTTGCCTGCGGCGCAAAAAATGAAAAAAATCTTGCTTCTTGACCTCCAAAATCCTCTAAATTTTCGCCTGCAGCGCTAAAAAAGAAGAAACCTATCTTCTTGAGTTCCAAAATTCAAAAAATATTCGCCTGCGGCGCTGATAATGGGAGAAATCTGGCTTTATGGCTGGATACGCCCTTAAAGGATATTGGGATTAGAGGGGATATAGGGGATTAATCAATAAATCCATCAACATCTCTCGTAATTTCCAACCCCAAGCCCTTAATCCACCGATCTTGAACGTAAGAAAATACACGATGTCTCTACTAATTTTCCAAAATTATTTTGGGGAATTCCAAAAAATTCCCCTAACTCATTCCTCGCACAGATAACTCTGTTAATCCTAAATTCCTTACATATCTCTGTTAATTTCTCCATTCATAATTGATTTTAATCACTCTATATCCTCATTGGGACTTAACTTTACAACGCCGAAGGCCAAAATTTTGAAAATAAAAATTTCGGTTCCGGATCCGGATATCCGAAAAATTCGGTTCGGATATCGGTTCCGGATCCGGATATCCGAAAATTTCGTTCGGATACCGGATCCGGATCCGGATATCCGAAGATTGCCAACTATCCGACAACCTTAATCTAAAATATATTAATTTTCTATACTACAGGGTGACAAGAAAGTTCGGAGTGAAGTATTTATTTACATAACTTCAATCAAAAGTATTCTACGGATATAAAATAAATGTGATACAATAGAGAACTAAATAGAGAATGAATTTTATCGGAAGTTTAAAACATTCCAACTTTCTGCATCGATACAGTATCGAACGCGTGTGTTAAGATTTTTGATTCTAACTTGCACCTCTTTTTGTGGTTGAAGACTTTAACTTAGGAACGGACTGTGTTATTGTTAGAGGAACTTAACCTACAAAAGTAGCCATTAACTTTTGTTTATTATTGCTTTTAATTTCTTCAGAGAATTTATTTAGAGCTTCTTTAACACAATTTAATTTATTTTATTTAAATTTTCACTCTTAAATGAACTTTAAAAATGTTGAAATGAGTGAAATATACGCTAGTTTATTCATTATAAGAATTCTTTTCCTCGACAATCACTTCTCTCTCTATGTATAAATATTGCTGCCAGGGTTGAAACAAAATACATGGCAATAAATCCATTTCAGCTTTTACTTCTTAGATATATTTTAATAATAATCTTTTAAATAATAAAAAAATAAGGAAAAAAATGTGGGGGTATAAATAGATTGTATTTACCATTTTTTATTTAGCATAATAATTATGTATTTGAGGATACAAAATTAACTGTTAGAGCTAAACTTTTATTTATTTATTGTTTAATTTCTTAGAGACAATTAATCTATTTTAAAGCTTCTATTTATCACAACAACTACCTACTACATTATTTTGAAAATTTCAGCTAAATAACGTTTAAAAAATCTCGATTTGTCTTTTTTCTCTCTCTTTATATGTAGGAGGCATACTTGATGCGGGTTGAGTGAATTTGCCTTTCCCAAAATGGGAAATCTATAAACTGAACCAAAATTTTACTCCAACAGGACGGAACTCTATGAGATCCCATAAACGAACCAGAACAAAAAATACCAGAACTTGAGTGAAATTATATTTTTTATTCTCCTTAAATTTCTGTTTTACCTACAAATCTGAACTCTCAATTATTAAAATTTGTATATTTATTTATTTGAAAATAACTAGTGTTATAAAAAATTTCTTTAATTATAAAAATTTTTTGAATCTTTGAATTTTTAAATTTCTTTCATTTCTCTGCGGATAAATCAGCAATATTATTATCCTTATTATACTTTTGGTATCTTCCCAAATTACCAAGGACAACACCAATAAGAGGCTGCCCCACCCGAAGCAACTCTTCTGCAATATTTGAAATGTTCAGGTCTCGGTACATCTTTAATATAGCCATTACATACAGGCGGAGTGTTACCACCAAGTCCTGGGCAAGCTGAAATAAAAAATGATGCAATAAAAATTTTTTATTAGAATTTAGTAAAATATCAATTAAATATTTTTTCTTAAAAATTCATTAAAATTTGTAATTCATACATACATTTAAATGATATAGCTCCACGACCACAATCCCCAGAGGCAGCAGCATCTAAAAGTAAATAAAATAATTTTAAAAATTATTACCAAGTTTAAAAATGTAACGATAAAATGGTAAGTTTGTGGAAATATTGATCGAACAAGGTGGGCACGGCATCCGGTTTTCAGGTTTCGGAGACAGATCTGCGTCGAAATTTCGATTTTCGACTTTCGATTTTCTGCCGATTTTTTTTTCTGCCGATTTTCGATTTCCGATTTTCGAATTTTTTGAGAAAATTTCGATTTCAATAATTCTAGTTTTTTCGATTTTCGTTCGATTTTCGATTTTTTTTGCAAAATTGTTATCTTTTCTCTTAATATTTTATTACTCGTCTCAATTTTTCTTCCTTTCCCCTCACGCTTCCATCTTTTTGCTCACTTCTCGTTTTTCACCCATCATTAGGGGTGTATCTTTGGAACCAGTTCTGGAACCAATTTCAAACCGGTTCCGTAACTGGAACCTTTCCATCACTGCCTCTGACAATCCCCGATCCCCGACAAACGCTTCCCCGAAGGGGGCGTGGACGAATCCTAATTTAAACTTAAAAACCTGTCTCAATCGACATTTGACTAATTAAGAAGATACATAAACATAAAGTAAAAAGTCCACGCATTATTATTTAATTTAATAAATTTTTTAAACAAAAAGTTTATTCTACTTAAAAATAGAGAGAATAAAAAGTTTTTTAGTTATCAATATATGCTTGATATAAGGAGATATTTTGTTTGGTCCTATAAGTCTCTTAATATAAATAAAGTAAGGTGGACGTGCCCATTCCAAAAGTGGGGTCGTTCCTTTTAGCTCTCTGAAACAAGAATTGTTTTAATCGCTCAACCATCCCACCACCTATAGATTTTTTTTCGTTTTTTTGTATTATCTACTATCCAGGAACCTATCCGGCCTTACAATTGTTATAGGTTTTATTATTATATTTAATTAAAAATAAATAAAACTGTATAATAATTAAACTCAATAAAATAAAAATAGAAGAAAAATATTTTGAAAACTCCAAACTAATCAAGTTGTTTAAATAACAAAAATGTTGGTGCTTGTTGTAATGAATTTTTTAAAAAAATTTTTTTGTCAAAAAAAAATGAAAAAATTGACAAAATTTTAATAAATAAAGCAGTTTTTTTTGTATCAATTTATTGTTTAAAAAAGTTTTTTTATTCTAAAACAAATTTTAAAAAAATTAAATATTTCCTTCTTTTATGGTAAATAAGCATTAAATATTAGTAATAAATTAAATAAATAAACCAAACAAAATATCTCTTATATCAATATTAGTAATATGTAAATTAAATAAATAAACAACTTTTTACTTTATGTTTATGTATCTTCTTAATTAGTCAAATGTTGATTGAGACAGGTTTTTAAGTTTAAATTAGGATTCGTCCACGCCCCCTTCGGGGAAGTGTTTGTCGGGGATCGGGGATTGTCGGAGGCTGACCTTCGAGGTTCGGGGTCTAGGACCATAAGGGGGAGAGTGCTCCGGGGTCAGGGACGAACCCTAGTTTAAATTAATTACAATTAGCCCAAAAAACTAGAAAAAAGATTTATACGCCATGAATTCGTCTCTTTAAAAAATCTCTTTACTCCTAATAATATTTTTAAAACTATTATTAGTTGTACTTGAAGATCTTATTTTTGAGGGAAAATCTGTTGAAGGAAATGTTGTCAAAGGAATGTGGAATTCCGTTACTACAGGCTACAAGAAGACAAACAGCTTTACTCAAAGTTATTGAAATTTCATTGCAATCACCAGATTATGTTCCTACCTATGTATTTATTTAATGTAGTTGTCAGCAATAAAAATTTCAACTTTTTTTTATAAATTTTATTTGTCTTTATTTATTTGTTTCATTATTAGGTATATTCTTATAACAATTTGTAATAATTCAAATTTTTAAAGTATTTTTTCAGGTATAAAATGAATTTATACGAGAAAATTTATCCAAAAAATAATTTTTCAAGTATAAATTAGGCTCTTTAGGTAGTATCTTTTTTTTGAAATATAAAATAATAATCATTTTTATCTTGTCTTGTCGTTTTTTTCATCTTAGTAAGACAATACTAGGTAAATATTGAAGAAGTTGGCTTGCAAATATTTATTAATAATTTATCTAATGATTAATTAGACATTGTTGGGTAAAATTGGATCTCATTATAAGATAACCTAAACTGTGATAACCGGGTTTCTGTAATTTATACAAAATTCCAGTTATCCAATAAATTTTAAATACTTCCAAAAAAATATTTTTTTGAAAAATATTATTATATATTTCTTCATTATTATCTCTCCAATATTTTCATCATAAAATAAACATAAAAAGAATAAATTTTTTTCACTCTTGAATGGATATTAAAATGCACATGCTTAAACAAGAACATTTTAATTGATGGAAAAATTTTTCACTTTTCTCGATATCGTTTCTCTTCACACATCTTTTTTGAAAACAAATTTTTTAAATCTGCAAAAGTTAGTGGGAAAATACTATTTGTATACTATTATAAGTGAGAAACGAAGGAAATGGAATTTTGTATCATAAAACTTTGAATCTCTTAAAAAGCTGTTTAATTTAGTTGCTTCAAAATAATTTTGTAATATTTTAAACGTGTCACGACACTTGCAGATATGACATTTGCAGACCCGACACTTGCAGACCCGACTTTTGCAGATCCGACATTTGCAGATGCCGACACTTGCAGATATGACACTTGCAGATCAGACATTTGCAGATCCGACTTTTGCAGATTAGACCCAGTTCGCTCTCTTCTTTACCTTATCTATAAACCATGGAGTGATTGCTGCTGCGGAGGAATCCTGGGATGCCCATCTCATCGATGATAGGAATAGGATCATGTTACGAGCCCAGAGCCCAGCGACCGTTGACTCCCCGCGAGGCGCTTGTGCAAAACCCCGCGCGAAGCGCGGGGTTTTGCACAAGCGCCTCGCCGACGCTCCATAGGTCTACGTTGAACATTTTAAACCTCCGGAAAAAAGAGTATGGGTCTTATATCAAAACCTTTCCACCGGTATATTATACTATATCCTTTGATTTTTGAAGATTTTTAAATTTTTTAAAATTTTTTTTCAAAAATTTTTTTCAAAAATTAATATCTGCAAAAGTCGGATCTGCAAATGTCTGATCTGCAAGTGTCGTTATCTGCAAATGTCGATCTGCAAAAGTCGTCTGCAAAAGTCGGGTCTGCAAATGTCATATCTGCAAGTGTCGTATGACCATTTTAAATACTTTTTTGTTTCAAACAATTTTTTAGAATTTACTCATAGAAAAATAAAATGCCTCTCTCCATTTTAATACCCCTTCTTTGATAGAATGCCCTTACGAAGTATTTATTAAAATAGAATATCTGGTTATCAATTTAAGGGGGATTGATAAAAAGTTGAAATTAAAATATTTAATAACAGCAGTTATTTTTTGAAAATTATTTTTTTTGAATTATATTAAAAAATTTCCTTCTGTACGAATTTCATAATTATTCCTCATCTGATGACAGCACCCAATATTTTCACAAATTTATTTAATTATTTTACAAACAAAACTTCATCACCAGCACCTTTTGTACAAAAACTTTTACAATACTTTTCACAATCCAATTTTAAAGAACAATGTTTCACATTGATAGAGGCAACAACAATAGACAAAATTAAGGCAATAAAAATTAGATAATTTTTTATTTTTAATTTAATTTAAAAATAATTAAACGATTTTAACAATAAAAACAAAAATAAGATTATCGTTAACTATAAAAATTAAAGATTTATTTTATAGTTTGAAATTTATTTTATAGCCCCAAGCATATTGATGCCTGATTTCACTATCTTTTTTAATAGACCTCTTTACTTTCTAGCCAGCTTCATCATCATTATTTCTTCCATTCTTTAAAATTTAATTATTATATTTATATATTCGTCAGTTTAAAAAAAAACTTTTTTTGACAATTATTTTAAATAAAATAAAAATTTAAAATTTTTTTTTCGAACACAACACTTTTTTTCAACACCAAATTCGAACACCAAACATTCAAAGAATAATTTTGTTTTATTTATTGAGAGTTAAACATTTGAAGTTTTTAATTTAAAAATAAAAATGAGGAAATAATAAGGAATTATTTGTTATGCGGAAATAACAATATTACTAATATATTTAAATAATTTTTATTAACAATAAATTTTCTCAATCTTCTATATTGTTGCGTGATAAAAACATGGATAGTTAAGATGGAAATTTTATTTTTAGCTACGTGTAAACTAAAAAATAAACAAGGGATTTAATGTTTATTGTCAGTTATCTTTTGATTTTTTCATGAACAAAAAAGTATTACAGAATTTAGACGTCATTTAAGATGTGTAGACCAACATTTTTGTTATTTAAACAACTTGATTAGTTTGGAGTTTTCAAAACATTTTTTTCTATTTTTATTTTATTGAGTTTATACTAGATAAATCAAAAAAACGAAAAAAAATATCTATAGGTGGGATGGTTGAACGATTAAAACAATTTTTGTTTCAGAGAGCTAAAAGGAACGAACTCCATTTTGGAATGGGCACGTCCACCTTACTTTATTTATATATATTAATTAATAAATAACAATCAAAGGTCGAATAAGAGACTCATAGGGCCAAACAAAATATCTCCTTATATCAAGCATATATTGATAACTAAAAGACTTTTTATTCTCTCTATTTTTTAGGAGAATAAATTTTTTGTTTGAAAAATTTATTAAATTAAAATTTATTAAAAAAAAATAATAATGCGTGGACTTTTTGTTTTATGTTTATGTATCTTCTTAATTAGTCAAATGTTGATTGAGACAGGTTTTTAAGTTTAAATTAGGATTCGTCCACGCTCCTTTCGGGGAAGTGTTTGTCGGGGATCGGGGATTGTCGGAGGCTCACCTTCGAGGTTCGGGGTCTAGGACCATAACGGGGAGAGAGCTTTGGGGTCGGGGACGAGCCCTAGTTTAAATTAATTACAATTAATTAACCCAAAAGACTAGAAAAAAGATTTTT